CCTAAGGATGGTGAAGAGACATCCGGATCAGAGACTGGTGAGTAGTAATGTGCAAAGTCTCGGACGTTTAGTCTAAATGCAAAGCTAGCTCCATGTCGCTCGCAGAATATGGCCAAGAAATGGTTGAATGAATGCCGTAACCATCATCCAAAATGCATGAGCATTAATGCATGGAAGACGCATGGAGCGGGCTATCAACCCAAAAGACTGATCGATGCTGGTGGCGACAAGAAAGACTGGAAGCGCGTCCTAAGGGAAGAAAACAAGATCGAGAAACTTTTCCACCACATTTGCAGAAGTGGGATTCCCACACCCATTTCAAACTAGTCTAGAGATATCCATCGTTTAACAATAAAGCTACAATATCTTTGAGAGAAAATGAATGCGATAGCTTCGCGTCTTACAATGTCTATGGAGCATGACGATCTGGGGCGCCTGTGTTGTTCGTTTCCGTGTCTGGTAAGTGTTGAACTCTTGGATTGCAGGCTAACGTTATTGTCTAAAATGACTAAGCCGCGTGCTATATAATTAGTAAAGCTAAGTTGGCATAAGTAGGTCGACGCGAAATGTCCTTGGATATCACTGGTAATTGATGCAGTCTTATGGTTAAGGATAACAGCCAGAATGCTGCAAAGGTTATTAAGGAAGCTGTCAAGATGCGTGTTTATTGGTTTATTGAAAGACATAGAAAGACACATCGGGCTAGAAATGGGTATAAAACAAAACTACAACTCATTCAATCTACGGCCCACAGGTCGCCGAAAGACTATTTGTCTTTAGAAGCTCTATTCTAAGTCCATTTTCGTCCCCACCGGGTTGTGTCTCAATGTCAAAAGTTGTACTCCAGCCCCCAGTCAATGTCGCATTGGCCTGGAAGTATAGGTAACCGCTTGTTTCCCTGTCGGAGCTCATCTGAAACGGAATTGTCTCGAGCTCCAGCTTTGGCAGCATCACTCCGGGCTGAGTAACACGATGCGAAAGCTGCAGAAGAGGCGGACTGTTTGTATCAACCAGCTCCTTGCGCAGTGCCGCTGTCACCGATAGTGCGGCTGCCATATCATTGAAAGCCAGACAGGAGGCAGTTTGCTGATACAACAAATCCGACGTCACGGCATAACCCCCGGTACCTTCATTGTCCAGCAGAAGTGACGCTCCAGTCGAGGGAGTGGTGAGATGAATATCGAAGCTGCTAATGGCTGTGCTAGCGTCGAGAGAAACAGAGAACTCGAACCATGTAAACACATTGTTCCAGAACCCGTAGGACTGTCCGCCCTTGAGCCGAGCCCGGACGGCAGTGATGGGCTCGGTGACGTTGGCGCCGGAGCGGTCCCGGTAGTTCAGAAACACCTCGAGATCGTCGCCATTGAGCTGCCTGTCTGCATTGTTGCGAACCCGGATTGAGCCTTCAAACAGGATTGTACCATCCTCTTGCAGACGCAGCGGGTTGACGTAGGGCTTTACGTCCAGGATCTCGATTGGCTCGCTGAGAGTCACTGTGGATGGGACGGTATTGATCATGCGCTCAAAAATGTTGGCGCATTTCTCCTGGAAGCTGGCAGGATCAGCGAGAGAGGTCATGGTAACGTTTCCGTCGGCGTTGAAGACGCGCTTGTCCGAGTTGAAGGTGTCATTGGCTCCCACGATCAGCAGGTTTGCTGTATCATTCTCGAGATACTCTGTGATCACCTTGTTGTCGAATTCTGAGGAAGTCGAATCGAAATGGCCGACATTTAGATCAGTTGCTTCGCCTGGGACGATTTCCGGAAAGTCAACGCTGTGAATGTTACCGAGACTGTGGCCACAGGCGACCATGGCGATCATATCTTCTGTAATTTGGGATCAATTTTCCGTGCGATTCTACGGCATACATCATAACGAATGAACGAACCATCATTGAAACCACCCTTGCGAAACTTGTCGCGCGTAGCTTCGAGGTCATCGGTCGGCTCCGGTACACCAGCCGGCCCAGCTTCTGTGGCATCAATACGGCCTGCACGAAGAGGAATTTTCGGTCCATCACACGCTGCCAACGCGGCGACCAGACTCAGAGCGAGAAGATCAGATACAGAAGTTCTAGGCGTGACGAAATCGTTCATGGCGGCAAAAGTGTTGTTGAATGCTGATCCCTTATTCTCGGCCCTGTCGAGCTCGAATTGAAGCGAGGCGTCCAGCCCACCAGTTCCCGTGGATGCATCATATGTTGCCATGTCGTGGAAGACTGAGCGCATCCATTCTGCCGAGTTTTGTATACCTGGCGAATTCGATCCAAAGCTGCACGGTACTACCACTTCAGGATTTTTTGTATTTTAGAAAGTTGTGCGATACATTGAGAATATTGAGAAAGAAAAGAGCCAACGAACAGTCTGAGAAGCCGAATCTCCTATATCCAGAGTGCATGGCCAAAATGTCTTCAAGGTCGTCGTATTTGGATGGCCAGGTGTATGTGCTCAGAGCCTGACCCGCCAGGACGCACAATACGGCAGTCGTACGCAAATGCATCTTGGCTAGGACGAACGCCAGAACGCGCAAAACTCTGACGACGAGAACATTGATGCCATTCACACAATTCGAGGCGAGAGACACGCCCTTGATATAGAATTCTAATTCAATTATTCACATTGGTCAATGCGAGTCGCTTCACTAGTATATCGAAACGAGCCTTGGCAGACAACTCTAATACGACGATGTCTCGTATAACACGACAGCGCGTGCTGCTATTTGCACGGCTACCGGACTTAGGTCGCTGCGCAAGTGGGGGAGGGCCCTGAACTGCCCTGAACACCGCTAGGGGATACGAGAATCCCATCCTTGTCCAATGCCACCTTCTGTTTGCAATCCCGCGAAGTATGCTTGAATTATTATTAACACAAATGATGCATTTAGACACTCGAGATAAGTGGTGCCTCTAGGCTTAAAACAAAGATGCAAGCTTTTAAACTGCACTAGGCTGAACGGACAAATTGAAAATACATGCGATGAACGCTCCTCCAAATTCGCATGCAACGTGCTTTTCATTGCCAAAATTCCTTAAACTGGCGGTTTCACAGCACCTAAATACTCACGACTCTTGGTATCGCTCGAATGAATGGCCTTTTCAGGAGAGGAGGGGAGGAGAGGATAATTCATGCCTTCAAAATAAATGAAATTCGGAAGGCACAGCGGTCAGGCGCGGAACGTAAAGGTTGGTGGCAGGTACCAGTGGCTTGCGATGCCGGGATCTCGGAATTTCTGCAAGCCGTCATCAGTCTAACTAGAAAAGAGCGGACAGGATGTATGGATAGCTCTTCAGTCTATATGATGTTATGTGCTGGAGCCTCAGGTCGACCAGTATAAACCTCACATCCCGGATTCACTCTTGAATGGCATGGACATTTCTCCCACGCGCCGACATGATTCTAGTAACCGCGAAACTAACCACTCTTAAAATGGCTGAAGCATCATCAGACTTATAGTTGTATGTGTCAGTCATCATGCACCGATAATCAAAAGTCCTACCGACTAAAAATATCGTCCGCTGCTAATACGGAAGACTTTGCCTTGGCTGAAATGCGGGTTTTGCTGATACGCCTCGTCTGGGAATTGGATGTGTACATACTCTGGACAGTCTATTAACAGGAATCGGCCGGAAACACATGCTGTGGTTCGAAAACAAATTATTATACGCTGCGTCATACCGTGACGCCGATTTTGCAAGAGTGGGAGCTCCACACCCAGCTCAGAATAGTGAAAGGATATACGATAAATCCTCATCATACGAAAGTAACCCAACCTAGCATCAACAAGGTCATAATCTTTGGCAGAGTCCTTTTTTTCCTTCTTTTTTTCCTTCTTTTTTTCCTTCTTTTTTTTTTCTTTTTTTTCTTTTTTTCTTTTTTTTTTTTTTGCCACTTAGCACTTTCCATCTGCAGTGCAAATATGAACCTCGATCTGGCCACGATATTTTCACTCTTACCCATACCATGAATGGCACGCAATTCCTCGGGCCTGCGCATTGATTGTTCCGACAGATGGATACATACGTATATTGCTCCAAGCAGACTGCCAATTGCTTCACATTCTATCGGCGAAAGAGCTCACGAAGCTCCACGAGCTCGATTGTTGTTTATGTATATTTGTCTGTAAACATATGTAAAGAGAGTATGAGGGTTAATCCAAGAGGAAGTATATGTGCAAGAGCGTATGTAAATGAATGAGTGAGAGCAAGGGGTTGATCTGAGCCTAATTGAATTTTCACCTCAACGCAAAAATCACCTTACTAATGATTATGAAAAATACAACAGGCAAGGAAAAAATAAGAAAGAAAATAAAACAAGTAAAAAAGAAATGAAATTAGATAGAATTAATTCTATTTAAAGGTTTTAACAATTATAATTTGTTATTAATTTATTATTACAGCTATTCGGGTGTGAGTCTATTAGGTAAATATGGTGTTTTTGAATAGTTTTTCCTTGAGTGCCTGACAAAATCTAAAGGTCCATAATGCGTGGCTGCGCAATATTTAGTTTTTTACATCTTCACAGTGTTCTTAGTGATCTGTTCTACTAAGATGAAATGCACAAACAGCTCCTTCTTTTTCTTTTGAAATTATATTAGGTGCTCGAGTGGACAGAGTATCGATGGGAAGCATAGTGTGGCAGCGCATATCTGCGCCGTTTCTTGGTTTTAATATTCTTGAAGCGTTTTTAAGAATGTATTCTAATTGGATAAACCGAATATCGTGTCACCATCTGCGCAGTTATGTCTGACCACGGGAAGAGCGAGGAGGGCTGTTGCCGAAAGAGGACTCAAATCAGTTAGGCACATGTTTATTTTGTGCCGCCATGCTTGTGATATTAGCAGCCTTTGCAGCTGAAGTAGCCGAAGAGGCTTTGAGACTCGGTATTATGAGCAATATATTTTAAACACACGAGGTTCACAATACCATCCAACCTCGAGGCTCCCAAAACTGAGAGTACCTAGAGATAAACTAGGTCACTCGCCGTGTCTAACAGCGTTGGTGCTATCTCAACTGAGTTCACTTCAGCCTTCACTTGGATGATTGCTCGTTGAATACCTAGACAATAAAATACACGAAATCTAATCGGCTCAAGTTTCCCTTCGGAACTAGCCGGTAAGTCGGAGGGTCCAGGACTCCATGCTTTTATCCGTCACAATAAGAGATGTATCTATTACTTTGGTCAAAGTCAATTTCCCACACTAGGAATCAAAATAGCAGAAGTAGTTCTAAGCCACCCCACTAAAAAGGTCTCGATTCATCCAAAGACAGGCCAAGAGTTTCATGTGATAGTATTGCCAGGCCACATACTCTACAGAAGTGATTTTTGCATCACGTGAATCGTGTATAACTTCTGTGAGCAATTACCTTGGCTACCTGAAAGGTCCCTGCGCCACTACAAGAGAGTTATCAAATTATCACACAGCCTGCTCTAGGTAGCGTCTCTTATTGCTTATGTGCATGTCAGATGAGGCGTTGAGCCTTTTGCAGAGCCACTGGTGCTGGCACAACCACCTCTGCTCAGTGTCACTTTGATATTTGGGGGAGGGGGTTCATCATTGCTTGTGTATGCTATGCATTTATAACTTCAACGCGGTGCAGCTTCCTCGTCAAATTCTTCTTTGATCCATCACAAAATATCGTGCCTATTATCAAATTCAAATTCAGAATGCTTTGCAATCGTTGTCAGTCTATTCTGCAGAGTCAAGCCGACATCTCAACACCATTGTTGACGGACCACCATGCTGATAGCAAAAGCTTCAAAGCAGCTATCATGGGCTGCTGCTTCCTTTGCACGGCCCTGGCATCGGAAATTGACAATGTTGAGCAAAAGCTGGAAAATTCCACAATCACCTCACACACTAAATGGCGATCATCGGGAAATACTACAACATATCGGATCAGACTATGGTGGATCGCACGCAGCCACAGTGAAGCATTCAATCATGGTCGAGAAATCCTTCTCGTGCCATCACAAAGTAAGTGATTGTCTCTTTGATGGCGTCCCCTGGCATCAAACCCGCCCGAGGTCAATTTTTTATCTCGTCCTCTTTGTCCTCTTCTTCTTCTTCTTCTTTTTGGGGGTTTTCCTTACCTCTTTATCCGTTCAAAGTACAGTAATTAACAGATACAGACCCAGGATTAGAGCTTCTGCTTCAACAGAAGGCCAGGAACTTCTTGAGAAATCTTCTGCCCCTCTCCCGTCACGAGGACTTGGCTCCCCGCCCGTCTCTTGATGTGGCCCGAACTTGGATGAACGAATGCCTTGAAAGACACCCGAAATGCAAAATCATCAATTCATGGAGAACTAGCGGTGGTCAGTATCAGCCAAAACGACTCATTGATGTTGGTCATGGCAAGGGGCAGACATGGAAGCTCGTCATTTCCGAGAACGCGGTCGAATACCGATATGCGACTTTAAGCCACAGATGGACGCGAAACCAACAGCCTTGTCTAAGCCAGTCCAACTTAGATGACTTCAAAAATGGACAGCCAGTGTCCGGCTTGCCTCAGGCCTTTCAAGACGCTATCAAGGTAGCGATAAGCCTTGGCATCAGATACATCTGGATCGACTGCTTGTGCATAATTCAGGACTCTGACTCGGATTGGCAGACTGAAAGTCTGAAAATGTGCAAGATTTATTCTCATTCCGTTCTGAATATATCTGCCACTGGGGTCTCAAGTAATGCTTTCGGATTTCTGGAGATGCTCAACAAGCCTCTCTTACTGCCTCCACAGATCAAGAAAACGTTGGCGCCCAGGCTCAAGAACACCTGGCAGGCGGTTGACCCATTCTTTTGGTGGGCAGAGGTGACCAAAACGCCGCTCATGAAGCGCGGCTGGGTGTTTCAGGAGCGCTTTTTGGCTCCTCGTGTCCTGCATTTTGGCGCACAGCAGATTCTATGGGAGTGTGCCGAGTTGGACGCTTGCGAGATCTACCCCAAGGGCTTGACTCGTTTGACCAAGAATGTCGGACATACTGGATTCAAGAATCTTGATCCTTTCCTGGCTTCCATCAAGGGTGGCTCTACTGGTTCATCGGTCGGCGGTCTTGTTCCGGTCACAGGACACATCAGCTTCGACGATGAACTTTTACGCTCTTGGTGTAATACGGTAGAATCTTATACTCGAACCAGTCTCACCAAAGGCAAGGACAAACTGATTGCTCTTGCTGGCGTGGCGGAGATGATGTCAAGCCTGTATGCAAAACTTGGTGGCAGTTCTTCAGGCTACGCAGCCGGCATCTTCACACACCACGTGTTGCCTATGCTCGAGTGGCATGCACATTCTCCCCTGAAAACTAAGTTTAAAACTTCGGGTTCGAGGCCAGACGACAAAGACTACCGGGCGCCCAGCTGGTCCTGGGCCAGCATCGACGGCCGAGTGTACTACGAGTTTCTTCCAGGTGTGTTTGGTCACTGGGACGCTGCCGAGAAATGGCGATCAACGACGTGGAAAAAACATGGAAGGGAAGTCGATAAGCCAAGGAAAAACATTGGATGGAAGCCGCTAGTCTTTGACTTGGTGCCAAATGTCATTCCTGTTGCTGGGTCTGGTTTTGGGCAGGTTGAACGGGGCAGCAGTCTTCGTTGCCGTGGCCGAATTGTTCCTCTGGCAACAATAAAGACTCCGACGCTGTCCACACTCTTGTATGAGGACCCGTCGCTTGATCCAGTCCAGGATAGTTCCAGCACATGGGCTTTGCCTCTGCGCTGTATTGATTTCATCTCCTCTGAAGGGGAAAGATCGTGGTGGATCACAGGACTCATGATTCAGCCTGTGGACGACCTTCGGCGTAAATATCGAAGATGCGGCTTGTTCTTCATTCCTTCTTCGCTTGGGATCCGAATGTTGGATATCGATATCAATGCAGATCGTGAGGTCAAATACTCGAATGGGACGATCCTTGATCAACTCGAGATCATTTGACTCATTTGACTTATTGGGAGTTTATCAATAGATATTTGTTTTTCTCTTCAATTTAGCAGGCATAGTCCGCAGTTGAGACACTACAGATTGAATCATGCCAGATGATACTCGGGATAATGCCGCGTAAAGAGCCCCAGGTCCTAGACTCAATTTCACGTACAACAACGTACAAGAACCATTCTTCCAAGAATCAAAGAGCGTAAGCCATTGGAAATACTATTTGTTAAGAAAAGAGTCAATTTGCAACGGGGCCTTTGAAGTTTGGATCGTGAGCTTTAATGTTCACGGAGTATACCATCAATACTACCTGAAAAAAAGGTAGGTACGTACTCGGTCATATGGCGGAACCGTCCGCACATTCCCCACTAAAAAGTTGCGACAACCGCTAGCTTTTGACAACACCGACGGTTCCATTGGATCGCCGCTAGAAACGTAAATTTGAATATGACCTCAAATCAACCTTGCAACTAGAAACCCGACGGCAAAACACACGACATTGGCCTCTTGCAATCCCGTCTAGTTCATCTATACAGGTCTATACCACCACAAATCACACAACCGAAAAGGATGAGCGACGCGAAACCGCACGACCCGGCCGCGGCGTGTCCCGTCGACCACAAGAGCCGCGAAGCGTGGATGCAACAAGCCCGCGCAGCCTCTTCCTCCTCGTCCTCCACCACCTCCGCCCCTCTCCCGCCAGATCACCCGCGGATACCGACCGCTGCAGCAGGCGCCGATGCCGAAGAGAGCTGTCCCGTAGACCACAAGGCGCGCGAAGCATGGATGCAGCAGGCGCGGGCGGCGTCGGCATCATCGTCTCCTTCTCCCGCCGCACCACCCCAGCAGCAGCAGCAGCAGCCCCAACAAACGTCCTGGACATCAGGCATTCTCTCCTACCTGCCCTTTGGTAGCAGCTCCTCATCCACCACCGCAGCCGTGCAACACCACCTTCAACAGCAAGTCCCAGAACAATCGCGACTAGGAACCAGCCGCATCGTCTCCTCGATACCGCGATCGGGACTCCTGCCAACGGGAGAAGGCGAGGCTGGGCAACAAGGAACACAGCACATGCCAGCCAACAAGGAGCAGGAGACGGGCGCCGACGAGGCGTCGGGCAATTGGATCTACCCATCAGAGAAAATGTTCTTCGACGCCATGAAGCGCAAGGGTCACGACCCGCAGGCTCCCGACATGCGCACCATTGTGCCCATTCACAATGCCGTCAATGAGCGCGCCTGGGCCGAGATTAAGCAGTGGGAGGCGCCGTTTTATCAAAAGGGCTCGAGGTACGTGATCATTGCAGAGATATCTGACAGCCACCATTGACGCGTGCTGGATCGAGCAATTACACACAAGACATTTAGAATAATATGCTAACTTGTATGATTTAACAGTTGCGAAGGTCCTAGGTTAAGCTCCTTTTCTGGTTTGAGCTCAAAACTGTCGCCAAAGGCCAAGATCAATACATGGTTGGGTTACCAAGCACCGTTTGATCGACACGACTGGGTAGTGGATCGCTGCGGGCAGGAAATTGAGTATATCATTGATTTCTACACGGGCCGGCCGCGTGGAGATGGCAAGCCCTCATTTTACTTGGACGTGCGGCCCAAGCTAAACAGCTGGGAAGGAGTCAAGATGCGAGCCCTGCGAGGCTTGGGCATCCAGTAAGTTCACGTGTTCATGTACAAGATATGTATAAACGAAATGTATTATAAGGGACCCCACGATCCCAGACAAGAAGGTTCGGAATTGCATCAAGGCCCGAAAGAAGGCTTCGCATTGGGTATCATAGTCAGTCATCATCAGCATCATCTCCAATCTCTGAAATGCAAGTCTATCGCATTTCTACTCCAGGGCGATTCGAATTGCTCGTCCAGTCTCGACTGCTCCTGCGTCCAAATCCCAGCCAGCACTCGCGAGTGCCTTGAAGAATTCCTTTTCAAAGACATAACCACTGTGAGCACGAGCATAAGCCTCCAATGCATCGAGATTTGTGGCGCCCTTTCGGAGGTAGATTCTTGCACCGCGCGTTGTGTAGGCAATCATGAAGGGCTCCTTTTTGAGAGAGAGGATCCAGTCGTAGGGGAGTGTCTCGGGCAGACTTGTAGCAAAATCGATATCTGGGCCCTCCCATGTCAGGATTCGCTCTACCTTGGCGACTTCGGCCGGGCGCATGATGCGACCGCTCTTGTGATACTCGTCAACGACAATGCAGGTTCTCTGTCGGTTGAGAGATCGCATCTGGACAGATCGGACGGCCTGGTAGTTGGTCCAGAGGTGGACACCGAGCAGGAAAAACATGGACAGCCAGACGGCAGTGGTTCCCTCGACAAAGTTGACAATCACACTACCAGCCAGCATACCCAAGAGAGAGATGACAGTTTCCTGGCTACCATCTTTGGCATTGAGCTCCGCGAGATTGCCAGTCTTGGCAAAGTGAGCGCTGAGACTGGCCTTGGCCGCGCCAGCAGCGACGCCGCAGAGAGAGCGCAAGATACCGGCAGCACAGAGGGCAATGATCTTTGGCTCCTGGGGCAGAGAAGGCGTGAGAATGTCGAGCAGGAGGGCGGCATCATTGAAGATGTCGGCCATGAAGCGGTAATACTTGCACTCGGGCTCAATGGCCTGACCGAAGCGGTGGGCAAACACAATGGTGGCAAGTCGGCCAGTCGACTCCTGGAGGACGGAGAGGAGGACAGCGCCTGTGGCTGAGGAGCCCTCCTTGCCCACACCAAAGCCCTGCAACACGGCTCTGTTGGACATCAGCCCGGCGATGGAGCTAGAGAAGGCCTGGAGTGAGTCCTTTAGGCGGAAAGTCAGCAAACTCATGTTGCAATCTAGAGCTATAATACAAGGGCGTCTTACATAGATCTGGTAGGGCGTATAATCGGCAGTGACCGTGTACGGATAGCCGGCTGGCAAGAAGACATCGAGAAGCTGTTTGACATAGCTCACGGTTGTCTTCGGCGGCAGCTAAAACCAAGGTAGTAGGCAGGTTAGCTACGGTAGGTACTTGGATATGAGTGGGAAGGGATTTGATAACATACGTTTGCCTTGTAGGGTCCGTCTTTCTTCTCTCGAGTGTAGTAGTAGACGACGGCACCCGACTCGTCAGTCACGTCCTTGTGAGTCGCCATCTTTGCGTCTCTCTCGCGTGCTGTTTGGTGACTACTGTTACCGTGTTTGATGTCGAGCTTTGGTAGTATGTATCAGATGTACCAGATTGAGCTTGTTGCCAGTTTTAGCAATGTTCAATGGATCCCCCCACCACCACCACGTTGCAGCGGGTCTGGTCGCCGTTTGTAGTGGGACACGCTAATGCGCTTGCCTAATCGAGGTGTCCTTATTGAATAATTTGAACCTCAACTTCAGATTCAACATTGAACCTTGGGCAACCAAAGAACTGCACCTCGTTTTTTTCAGTGTTGTACTTGTGCCATACCGATTGGATCCCAAGTATCAATCACTACTACATATACAAATGCCTACCCAGACTACCAACCACAGAGACTGCCAATTCTCATTGAGGACACTCTTGTGAAAGACAACTAGTCCTTCTGGTGCAGGTATGTTGCATGCTCTTTGTCTTACTGAAATATCATTAGGCAAGAAAACGTTTGGGCGTCTCAATATGCACAGACAATCTTAACTTGGTTCATGTAATAAAACATCAAATTGACAAAGGTATCTCGGATAAATAATAAATACACGGATTCTATACAAGAGACCCTGGGGCAGCTCAGTGCTTCGTGGGCTCTATCTCGGCGGTCTCTCCCGACTGGACGGGCTCCATGCCCTCGACCTTGCCGTTGAGCATGCCTTGGACATCCATGACCGGGCCAGTGTAGTGCTTGCGTCCATCAAAGATCCACTGCGAGCAAGAATCAGTAAAAGGTTCAGGCGAAAATGTAAAAGCAGAGTACTTACAGTGGAACCAGCAATCACCAGGATGACTCCGAAAGCAGCAACGCAGTAGTTCATGTTCTCGGAATCGACAGGGGTCTCGGGAGGGAAGACAAAGAGGACAGTGGTCAAGATGGCCCAGGCGATGCCGACAAGGTTGAAGATCCAGCCAATGGTGTTGGGGAGCTTGAAGGCTCGGGTCTCGGGCAACATCTTGCGGCCACGGAGGCAGTTGATCGCCGGAGGAATGGCGTAGGTGACACCAAGCGCGACAACCGATGCAGCAGTAATGGCGTTGAAGGTGCTGGATGAACCGAGGAAGATCAAACCAAAGATGACAACCCAGGCGGTTGTCCAGATGAGGGCGTTCAGGGGAACATCCAGGGTAGGGTGGACTCTGGCAAAGACGTGGCTGAAGGGAAGACCACGGTCACGGGCAAAGGCATAGCTCATACGAGAGCTGGTAGCCATGATACTGGTAGTGGTGAACAGCATGCAGATCAAGGGGAACATCAAGAGACAAGTGCTACCAGCCTTGCTGTTGGTAGCATCCATGAAGATCTGGAGGAGAGGTCCGGCCGCAGACTCAATGACAGCGTCGACATCCTTGAGGACAAACAAGAGACAGCTGAGGAAGAAGAAACCAGACACCATACCGATGCCGATACAGTACAGCATGATGCGAGGTCCCTGAATGTGCGGCTCGGGGATCTCCTCAATCATGTGAGCAACACCATCGAATCCAGTCAAGGCAAAGGCACCCTGAAGCAGACCAAGCATCCAGGCAAGGCCATCCGGCCAGCCAACCTCATTGATGAAGCTTCCATAGACGAAAGAGCCAGGCTGGAAGTCAGGCGTGGCGCAAGCAAATAGGGTGATGCTGATGATGATGAAACCGGCGACCGACCAGTAGAAGGCGGCCTGGGTAACCAGAGGCAAGAGTCTGTTGGCGAATGCGTTGATGGCCAGTGCAGCAGCGTTGAAGGCAAGGTAGATGAGGAATTGGTGCCACGCCTTGGACTCGTAGTTCTCATCAAACAGAGCAATAACGTTCAGCACAAACGTGCTGCCGAGCAGACCACCAGTGGCAGTCAGGGCGACCCAACCGGATACATTGATCCAGCCAGTCACGTAGCTGATGCCACGGCTCCAACGCTTCCAAGAGATAATGGCAGCCCAGTGATATTGGCCACCGGCTGTGGGGTAGGCAGACAGGAACTCGGCGAGGGAGGCGGCGAGGCACAGGTTGCAGATACCGGCCACGATCAGACCCCAGACGACAGCGCTGGGGCCACCGGAGGGCAGGGCAAGAGAGATGGAGGCGGCGAGGGCTGTCCAGGTGTTGAGGATGGCGAAGGCGAGACCAAGCATGGAAACCAGGGAGAAGTTTCGCTTCAGCTCCTGCTTGTGTCCCAGCTGCTCCAACGCGATGGCATCGTTGGCCACGGCGTGTTGGTGCTGGTTCTCGACAGGATGCTCCATGTTTGCGATCGAGAACACGAACGACTTTGCGATTGGTGTCTGTCTCGCCCGGGAATCAATCTGCAGAATGAATTGGCAGGATTCCTGATATCACCCAATTGTCGTCGTCAAAGAGTGAACTATTAATAACGCACCGTCTGGAATGCGGGCGATTGGACGACTGGTGATATTGCGCTGCGCGACCAACGGATGCAACAGCAAGCAAAAGATTCTTGGAGTCGAACAGATGAAGTCTGAGGCGAGATGTCATCCATGATTTAACTTTTTCAACGATTACTCCTTTGGGTAGGTACATCCTTAGACATGGACGGCCATGTGGGCACTGGGCTAGAGATGGGTGGTGATGGCTAGTCAGACACTCGACAGACTGGGCGAGAAAGCTTGACGTTTTGGTATGACAAAACCCGGGGGCCAGTCCCAGGCCGGGGGAACTCCAGTCGTATTGGTCGCCCGGCAGCCCGTTATCTATGGCTAATGGCTATTATCTGCCAGAAATGGGTAATCTTGGTGTCCATCCTGAATCCTGCCCCAGATTAGGGATTCGGTCCGGAGCGACGTCAGACAGCAGAATCGCCGTTCCAGGTCCTTGTCGCGCATTCGCCAGCCAACCAGCCATGCAAGCTCGAGCCTCACGATGCTCCACCTCTAGGCTACGCTACGGTCATTAGGCTTCGCAGAACTCCATCAGGTCCCCTAATTTCTGGGAGACAATGTGGGAATTCTGGACTCATGCGACCGTAATACTGATCCGTCATATCAACTCCTCTTGGGATCCGCGAATCTGGGGTTGTCAAGGGAAAAGCGTCTGGGCTCGTGCGCTATTTGTAACCAAAACCAATGTACGGCTGATTCGTGAGCCAGGCCCCCTGTTCCGTACTGCTGGGTATGTAATCGTAGATTCGGTGCAGATAAGTCAGCCCAGATGGATGCGATGCGATACGATGTGCGGCACTTGTCTTGCCCAGACACCAAAGACCAGGCCCCCAGCTTCCCGAACTTTACAGTTCTACGGCATATCTCTCAGACAGGGACGGGTGGCTTGACACAAGCATTTTTGGGAAACTTGCCGATTGGATTCGGATCAGCCCCAATAGCTGGGCAAAAGCTGGGCACAGTGGTACCCGTGCGGGAACTGCGTCGCCAAGCCGCTGCCAACAGTCAAGACATCTTGGCTCGCCGGCGAACCCGGAGCTCTCTCTCTTTGTGTCTCTTGTTTCCTCTCCCATTTCGGTATCGCCACACGTTAAGCAACAGCATGACAATAAAGTAGCACACGTAGCTGAACGTTATGATTGTAGTTAGCGCATCTGCATGTCTGCAATTCCGCAAGTACATAGCCCAATCCACCATTGAAGAAATCTAACTAGTTTCGGTGGTGCCGCTCACTGTACCTAGATTCGGCATTAACCAGCTGATCCCATAGCGCACACACTACGGAAGTCGCTCCCAAAAGTCATGGCCCACCCCACTTGACAGGGGAAATTTCCGCTCAGCTGTCACCAGCTGTCAAATAAATTGCAGCTAACAGCCATTTTCTATACTACTGTTGATCAAGGTGGTGCTTTCCTATTGGAGTTTAAACTGGTCTGATATAGGTGTCAATTATATGATATATTAATCTATATTCTGCGCCTTTTAGTTTTAATAAGGTGTACGCTTATTTGGGTGGCCCCGGCTAATCCCCGGGAGGTCCCGTATATTTATTTAAATACTATAGGGTTAATCCGTATGCTTAAGCATACCCTAATATATAGGAATTATAATTTACTATCTAATATACCCCTTTAGATTTACGATTTATCGTGGATTTGGCCATATTTAAATTAAAATTGCTAATTAGTAAAATATAGCTTTTTTTAAAGCTATTCGTTTTAATTACGATAGGTAACGTTAAATTTTATTTATTATAGAAAATTCTGTTATTTGCCTATTAGCAAGCTTTTCGTTAATTTATTTATTATTATTTTATTTAAAGGTTTATAGATAATTCTAATTTTTTTTTTTAGGCTTTTTATCGTAATTAATAGTTATAAATATTTATATAATAAAGCTTTATTTTTAATAACGCGATTTCGGCGTTAATTAAATTAATAGTTTATTTATTATTATACTTAATAGTAATAGTGCTATTATTTAGCTATATCGATAATTTTTTTAATAATCGGCTAATAAATAATATTTTTTTAGTAATTTGCGTTAAGGTAAATAATTTAGCTTTTATAATAAAAATAATAATTATATTTTATTTATTTAATCGCTAATTAATTAGTTTTCCGAATAACTTTATAGCGAATATTTAAGTATTTTTGCGATCGATGCTATTATCGGTAAATAATACGTTATTAATAATTATTAAATTAAAGGATTTTCCGATTTTAAGCGAAAGTTTTTTAGTATTAATTAGGTAAATTAAAACTCGATTAATAGCTTTTTAATATATTTAGCTTAGATTATTAAGGAATCGAGCTAATTTAGTTATTGCGAATATAATATTTAATTTTATAAATATAGCCGCGAATAATAGTAATCTAATTTTTTTTTAATATTTTTATATTTCGTAAAAAAACGCTATAATTAATCGAAATATAAATTTTTCGTAGTTTATTAGCGTTATATAAATTTTTTTTTATTTATAAACTTGGCGATTTTTTTAAAATAAGCCTTTTAAGAAAGCTAGATTATTTTAGATATACGATTTTTAATTATTTTTATCCTAAGGAACCATTATATTGGCTTGCTATTACTAATTTTATATTTTTTTATAAAGTGCTATATTAAATAATTAATAGCTTTTTTATTTTTATTTTTATATACGATAATTATATCGTTAACGTAAAAAAAAAACTAGTATTTTTTTTTAATAAATATATAAGGCTTATATAATATTTAGGTATAACCGATTTCGGCTAGAGTTTTTATAAATTTTTTTTATTATAATAGCGGTAATATCCGTAATTTATAAAATGCTTTATTTAATAATAATATAGCGTTTTTTTTTCGATATTTATCCGGTATTTTTATAAATATATTTTAATTAATAAGAGCGTATATAAACGCGTTTATTACGTTATATTATATTAATTTAAGGTCGAATTTCGCTATAATCGCGATTAGGATGCGAAATAATTTTTTAGCTAATATAACCGCGTAAATTTTTTGGTTTTAAGATTTCGCTTATTAATTATCGCGAACGACGAATTTTGCTTTATATTTTTGGAATTTCCCGTGCTTATCGAATTTATATACGTATATTTATATATAATTAAAAATTTATTTATTTTTTATTCGTAAATTTTTCTTATTAATTTTGGTTTAAAATCGCATATTTTTATAATTTTATAAATAATTAGCTTTTATTTAAAAAAATAATCTGCTAAACGGATAATAATATAATTTATAATGCTATTTAGGGGAAGCTGGGATTTCCGTTTTATAAATTTTTACCTTTTAATAAAAAAAGCGTTTTAGCTTTGTTTTATCGTTTTAATTATTATTTTATTTTGCTTTAGGAACGGCTTTATAATTAGCTAGGAAAATTATTTATTATAAGATTATTTTAGGTCTTTTTTTTAATAGCGCTATATTTTTAATTATAATCGCTTTTATGCTATATATTAATAAAGCTAATAGAAGTATTTATAATAGAGTTTAAAGGGCAAATTTCGCTATAATAAAGGGGTATTATTTATTTTTTTTATTTAGCGTTGCTTTTTTATTTTTTTAATTATTACTTTTTTTTTAATTATTTTAATTATCGCCTAGCAAGATATTTTTTGCGGCGGTATTTTTATTTTTTAATTCCTATAGGATCTCGTTTTTAAATATTACGTAATTAATTACGAAATCGGCGATAAGCTGGGTATCAGTATTTAAAAGCTTATTTTTAAATATATCCTATTTTCCGTCGCATAATTTTTTTTCGTTTATAATTATATTTTTCGTATTAATTAATTTATTTTAATTAGGAATTTAGATTTTGTAAATATTAGATAACCTATATCCGATTAGGTATCTTATTTATATTTTAGGTGCTAATTATTATAAACGGCCGAATTTCTATTATATTATTGGCGTTATTGCGTATGCTTTATATCCGAATATTTTAAAATAAATTTAATTAAGCTTATAGCTTGGATTTAGAACTCCTTTTGCTTTTGTAATTATTTTATAAAATTTTATATATAATATACGTTATCGGGAATTATAATTCGGCGTGCGATTATATAAATATACCGCGGTTTTGCCGATTTCGGGCCAAAATTAGTAAAGGAGTTTTGCGTTAATGCGTATTATCCGTTTTTTTTTTAATTATACCCCTTAAGCGTTTAATAATTCTATTTTAGGTTTATATATATAATGCTAAAGGCTCGAATTTAATATATTTATTTTCAAAGTATTTTTTTATTACTTATTTAATTTTTATAATTTTGTTATCGCATTCGATAATTTTAATTTTAATATTATATTAAATTTTTATTATATTTAGGAACGATCGGAAAGCGTTAATTAATATAACCGCAATTTTTTCCGTAAAATAATAATCCTATATATATCCCGTTTACCGATAGGTAATTAGCATTTAGGATATATAATTTTCGATTTTTTTAATATAATTATAAAAATTTATAGCTAATCGTTCGCTATAATTTTCGTTAATTAGCCGTAACGCTTACCGTAATTAGCGCGTAATTTTTATAAATGCGTAAGCTTTATATTTTATTATAATTAGTCTTTTAATTCTTACCTTTTAAAATAAATAAATAAAATATTCGAAAGCTACCGGGCCTAAATATTTTATTTTATAATGTTATCGTATAGCTTCCCTAATTAATAATAGCTTTTTTATTTATATTATATATTTTTTTCGGTAAATAGCAAATAACGCTAAAAATAATTCGTAAAATCTATATTCGAAAATATATTATCCGTATCGGTTTTAAAATATACTAATTAAAAATCTATTTTTTTTGCGTAATATTATAAAATCGTTTTTATTATTTTAATAATATCTTTATCCTCGTAATTAACGGAGTAATACTAATATAATTAGCAACCTAGGATAATAGGCTATATTATTTAATAATAATATTTTAAATCCGAGCTATATAATTATTATACCGTACCCGTAAATAAATAATTTCCGGTCGCCTAATTAAATAAAATTATAATTAAAAGTTTGCTTATAATTAATAAGCCTTATTTTTATATTTATAATTAAAATCGTTATCGCTAAATTTAAAATAACTAAATAGCGCAAAAAATAATTTTTTATAAATATTATAAAATTATTTTATATATTTACTATTAATCGTCCGTTTTATTAATTTGTATTAATCGGAAGCGATTTTTTTTTTAGTTATTCGTAATATGCTAATTCGGCTAATTTTAATCCTTTTTATGCTACGAACTTATTCCTATAAATTAAGGTTTTTTTTAAAAGTTTTATTTATTCGTATTTATATTTTATTTTTAGGGACGAAACCTAAATAGGCTTTTTTTAAGAATACGTAAAAATATAAATTAAAGGCGTAAAAAAGGTGGCAAATAAGGCATTTAATATTTTTTTACCTTTTATTATAGGTAATTCGTTTACTTTTTTTTTATATAAATTAGCCGCATTTAATCGGGGAGGCATTTAATTTTTAATAGGGTAAGCGTCTTTATTTTATCCGTTTTAGGGCTATTTTTTAGCTTTATTAGCGTAAATTGCGAAAGCGCTTTTCCTAATTTTTAGCCTAATCGGCTATTAAATATTTAAATTTTTACGGAAATCGTTGTTTATTACCCGATATTTTAAATTCTTATTTAAAATGCTTTATTTTTTATAAATTTAATAAAAAACGGCCTATTATAGCATAATTAAAATAATTATATTTAGGAAATTTATAGCTTAAGCCGAATTATCCTATACTTCGACTATTTGCTTTACCTAGGTTTTCGCTATAATTATTTTTTATTTATTAACCTAATTAGTAGCTTTTTTTAATATTTTCGGAGGCTTAAAAGCTTTTAAATATTATTTTTTTATTTTTTTTTTATTATTTATAGCTAATTTGTTATAGCGAGCCCTTAAATTTTCGTATTATTTATATAGGGGCTCGTTAATTAAGCAATATATAGAGAAAAAGTTTAAAAAAATCGTTATAATTATTTATTTTATAATTTTTTAATCGCCGTATATTATTTAGCGTATATAGCCTTTTTTATTTTATAATAGTTATAATCGAAGTTAAATAACTTTTAACCTTTTTTAATAAGATCCGTAATCGTTTATTCCCTATTTTTTTTATTTTATATAATCGGATCGTCGTTTATATCTGCAGCTTCGAAAGTAATAGCCGCGGTTTTTATATATTTAATTTTTTTTATATCCGGTTCGATTAGGGTTTTAATTAAAATCGTTTTATTTTTAAAATAATTAGTTAATCCGGTAATTTATGCTTAAATTTAAAACGCATATTCCTAATTATTCCAATCGGAGGTTATTTTTAATAATGCCGTTAGGCCGATTCCGGCTTCCTTCGTAATTATTATTTTCGTAGCTTCGGCGGAAATATTAAAACTCTTAATTATTAATTAAAATAATGCTTTCCTATTAAAGTTTAAACTAATCTAATATAAATATTAATTATATAATATATTAATTTATATTTTGCGCCTTTTAGTTTTAATAAAATATACGCTTATTTAGGTGGCCCCGGCTAATCCCCGGGAGGTCCCGTACATTTATCTAAATATTATAGGGTTGATCCGTGTGCTCAAGCACACCCCAGTATATGGGAACCATAATCCACCATCTGACAACTACAACAGATCAATGGCCAGTCAATAGATAAGCCATTTCCTCCTTAGTCAACTGATCCTCTTCCCACTCCTCCTCGTCCTCAACCTCAATTAATAATTTCCTTTTTAGGACGGCCCAATCAGTTCCTGGCCTATTAGGGCGCGGGGCTCTTCCCTCTTTATACTCGTTCCCCCCCTCGCACCATATAATTTCTTATATATAATGTGGGATCCTCTTAATCCATGCCCGTACACGCTTAAATGGCATCTCCCGCCAAGCCTTTAACCAGCGCTTTATAGCTTCCTTTTTTATAGCCGGCGGTCCCTTTTTAGTAGTTTCTCGTTTCAGATAATACTAATAGGGCTTTATAGCATTTAGATTTAGCGAATTACCAGGCTAAAATAGCTTAGCTATATTTTTTAAATTATAGGTTTTTTCGTTAAATTAGTGTTTATAAGCAGGGGCACCGTCCTTTTAGACGAATATATCCTCCCGTTCTTTAGCTAGGCGGTCCCTATAAGGAAATATTTTAGCTAATAAGATCTTTTTGCGATATTTATATTAGTCGATTCCTCCTTTTTTAAAGCGTAATAACTTCCTAATTATAGCTTTAAAACGCTATATAGGCTTTTTCCTAAGCTTATTCCTTAATTTTAATCGGGATATAGCATTATTAAGCTTTTATTTTGCTTTTATAATTAGTTTAAGCTTTATATTAAGCTTATCCACCTTTTTAGCAGCAGCCTTTTTTATTACCTTAGTTTTTAAGCCTTAGCAATAGCAAGGGCTTATAAAATTATAGCTAAAGGCACCCTAAAATATAAATTCGCTATAGCCTTTTTAACGGGGACGTATATAACTCTTCGAAAATGCCTTTTCGAGAGTGCGCTAAATTTTATAGCCACCTCTTTTATAGCTAATTATAATATTAATTTCGTTAAATTATATAACTTTTTTTTAATTTTTTATAATTTAGTTTTAATAATTTAGTGCGAATTATAATTTGGCCGCTTTTTATTTAGCTATAAATTCCGGCTTGCGCGTAGGCTTAGTTTTCGAAAACCGTAAAGCTTTAAATATGCGCTAAATTATAAAGTGGCCTATAATTATACCGAATTATTCCTTTAATTCCTTAGCTATAATCTCGCACGTTTTTTTTTTTGCCGTAGCGGTTACGGCGGATTATAGCAGTCACCTAACGGTCTAATTCCTCGCCTTATTTCTTAGGCCTTCCCGATCGGAAAGCATCCTTTATATATTTAAGCTTAATTTCGAACGCGGAATTAGCCGGATTAAAGCCGCGTTTTATAGCCCGCTTATATATATTATTTATAATACGTAATGGGAAGAAAGGCTTTCCCGATTTGTCCTTCCCGAAAAAGTCAGAAATTTAGGGAGCTAACTAATTAAAACGCGGGAATTTTAATAGCAATATATAGGATTTATTTATTACGTCTATATAATGCCGCTTAATTAGATCTTAAATAGCCATAATAATAGCTATAGGGGGTGTAATAGGTGTAATTAAGGAAGTAGTTATTGTGATGGGTGTAAGTGGAATTAACTTATATAATTATATGGTATCGATTATAACAAAATTAAGTATATTTACTGCAAAACGGGAAATCACACTGCTATATTTATTTAAATTGCATTAATTAAAGCCCTTATTTCTATCTTAATAACTTATCTAAAACGTATAAATGTGTTATATAATGTGTTATTTAATTAAATAACGTATAAGTGGGTGATAATTAACGTGGTTATAATGAAATTCAATAGCTATATCTGGCGGTGTAGGGGTGCCTGGCTGTTTTAATGGCAGCTGTGACTTTATTGACAGCTGGTGACAGCTGAGTGGAAATTTCCCCTGTCAAGTGGGGTGGGCCATGACTTTTGGGAGCGACTTCCGTACTATGCAGGCACCATCAACAGGTCCTGGGCCAGAACCTGCATCCAGCTCTTCAAGATCACTTGCTGAACACTCTGAGCTTTTATCTCTAACGGGCGCATACTAGGTAGTATCCAGTCCATTCGTAGTATCAAGACCATTTCATTTATTTCATCCAGTCTACTCAATCAATTTACAGTCACGAGACGATCTTCCAATAGCACATTACACTAGAACCTCGACCCCGATTTCGGCACAAAAATCAAAGAGAGCTCGCGCTAATGAGAGTTCATTACTATACTCAAACTCCACGAGTGGCCATGAATCCGAAATAGGCAATCGACCCGATGGGAAACATGCGGCCCTTGTGCATGCGGACAAAGTATGGGGTGTAGTTGGGGTGTACCCTAGATGGAGTAATAAATATAGAGGCGGGCATCTTGCATGAGTCCGGGTCAGTTTAGACATCTGGCCTCCTGCCTGCAGAATCTACAATGTCTTGCATTTTCTCACTAAAGAAAATACGCGTTCTGGGCTCTTGCCTAAAAAGTCACGCGCTTATCCTTGTGGGTTTGGGAACGCCCTGACTCGCAGGTTACCAACGACAACGCGTCGCAAAGGGGAGAAGGTAGATGAGACCAAGATTGCTCAGTTTGACCTCGAGATGTCTATATCACAATACATGGTATGCGTAAACACAATTAGGAACACTTCATGCAACCTGGTGGTTCGGTGAAGAAATAAGCTGGCCCAAGTCTTGTAGGCCGACGTATTGATCCCATAAAGGTAGCAGGATTTCTTCCCTTTTCCTTTCCTAAGATTTTATCAAATGGGTACTTGGCGATAGTTCCCATTCCATAACCAAATCAGGACCACTACGATCAAAAAACAAACTGAGGATCCAAATCTTGTATAGGTTCACAATTGCCTTGTCGTACCAATGGACAGCTTATCGGTATAAAGAAAACGGCTCTATTAACAGAAAATTTCATGTCTCAAGTGATTCAAGACCATTCGAAGAAGCTGGAAACTCTCGCTCCTGCTTCCCAAATCCTCCAGAAACACATTCACCTATACATTTGAGGCTTCGTGTCTTGCACATGGCATCAGGATCTCAGTCGAAAGGTCTGCAGCGCTGAGCACACTAGGAGTAATGCTATATGATTGAGATTGTGTATCGACCACGGTTCTTCTTCTCGTAATACGACTCTTCAATGTCACAAGGGTGGTGAAGGATGCTGGCGACTCCGCTGTGGTGTACCGTCAAGAATAAGCCGACCCTGTGAAACTGTCCTCGAACGCGATCAGTGGGTATGAGTGTCAATCCCATTGTTGCAAAAATGCCAGCCCCAATGGTTGAGAGGATCGGCAGTAAGAATACGCTTTGTGTCGGGGGATGAACCGTAATGGTGGGTTGCAATATGATGTGTTTATTCTCATCTAAGGACCACCGAAAGACTCGCTTCAGACAACGTTTATAATGATCGTTGTCTTGGGGCTTGTTTAAGTCTGCTGGAGTGATTACATCTGGCAGAAAGGCAATCTTCTTTCTCGAGTGTCCAACTGTCCAGTATGGTTTAGCTTTGCCTTTTGGGTCGCTCTGGCTCAGTCGTGCCTCTCGTAGGGATCCTTGGAGTCGCAGGAAGCCAGCCTTGATAGCACCAGTGTTGTCTTGGTCCATCATGGGTGACGTTTGAGCTTCTACAAGCTTGCAAAGCACCTGCACGCGATTCTTTTGGCCGTAATAAAATCGGTCAGGTGTGAGACCATGCCAGACCGCAGTCCCAGTCGAAGCCCAAGACCATGTTGGTGCCGTATATTGCTGCGTGCGGTTAGAGCTGTAGAGGTATTTGCTGTGCCAGAGTAGCTGCAGTAGCAAATCCTTTTTCCAAAGCCCAGCCACGTACTCGTCGCCCGTGTTGCGCTGCACTTCCTTGACTATACCAGACAAAGCAGCTAGTCTGTCTGTATCATATGTGAGTCTCATCTGACTGTATGTTTCTACGAGATGGGTCCAGGTGCTCCACCTCTCTTCAGACGTATGCATTGCTCCATTCATACAACGCCACAAAGATACAATCGTATCCACACTAGGTGAGCCCAACCATGAATTTGGAACAGCATTAGGCCACTGCTCGCTGAAGCCTTCCTCCGTCTTGGCCTCAAAAAAGACTTGCCGAGTAGTGAAATGCATAATCTTTGGAGAGAGTAGTCTTTCTTGAAAGACCCATGCTCTATTGGCAAGAGGTGCACTACTTACTACCCTCCATGGCTCGTGTGCTATAACGTAGCGTGAAAGACCGTCACCCTTAATCGCTGGGTCCCTCCACGCAACGTCGTCGACTTGAAGTGGCAAGAATGTCTCGATGTCTCTTGACCTGATCAAACCTGCCTCACTATCATGGGCAACGTCCGCAGATATATTGCATGTTGCATTTTGGTAGATTTGGCCCATGTTTAACCCCTGGCTGAACCAATCTTCCTTCGAATCTTGGATGATGCAGAGAGAGTCGATCCACAGGTAATTGAAGCCCAGGTCGCAAGTAATCTTGATGGCGTCTCGGAAGTTTTTAGGTAGTAGCTGATACGGAACACATTGTTTGAATTTTTCAATGTTGCTCTCCATCAAACGTAAGAATTTGTTCTGTCCCCAACGATGGCTCAGGGTCAAATACTGAGTTCCTCGAGGCAATGCGTTGTCCTCACACAATGACACTTGGTACTGCTCATCCTCGGACAACGATCGAACGTGTAACAGGCGCTTTGGGGGAAAGCGATTTGGATCCAAGACGGTTCTCTCCGCCGACTCGTCTCGAACCCATTGTCTTGCTCGCTCTTTGATTGAGGCAGACCATGTGGTATGACCCGAACAGTCAGTAGCCAGCTGCTTGCCTGAATGCCAAGTCAGTTCTAAGATGAGTATGTTCCATCTACAGCTATGTAGCCAACATTCACTTACCCGTTTGCTGGACCATGAGGTCTAGTAGTTTCGTTGAGCTGCCACCAACGCAGAGGCAAGAGAAAGTAATGGTAACATTGACGGCAAGTTTCTTAAGTTTGTAGAGGAATCGCAATGGCGTAGCTGATTCGGATTGCGTAGGCAGCGGGACTCGGAGGTCTGGATCTGCCAGCCTATCTCTCAGCAGCCGACATATGTAACAACGCTGCTCAGCGGCTTCTACTACATCCTTGTGGGACGTGTGATGCTTGAATTCCTCTCCAGAAAGGCCTCGTGGAAGGTAGGGATTGGCGAATATCTGGCGACATATACTGCAGAGACTTAAAGATGAGCAGGCCGGTTTTAGATCTTGCTCGCTCGGTTTGTCCAGTTCTATCCGTTCGTCAGACATAGTATTGCTTCGCTCTTCTGAGCACAAGACGACACCCAGCAGTCACAGCTCACGACTTCCTAGCGAGGACAGCAGCGCAAATCTGGTGTGTCGCTCGATCAGCACGGGAGTCTATCTCTGCCAATGCTCAGCGCGCAAAGGCGGAGGAAATCGTGATGTCGAGAATTGAGGACATTGAAGCAGCGATTGTCAGTCAAATGCTCACACAGCGCGGGATTAATGAACACTGCCACGTCAGTCTCGGGCTCCGCATATCTGCATTCAATACTTCGTCTAATCCACTGTCTCGTCCACTGTATTATTAATATGTGGGCACCATCGCGACCTCTGCATTGTCCGATTCTGTTGAATCAGAAGCGGAGCTAATGGGCAGAGAGCCTGTACCAATGTTTTTCTAGAAAGCACCCTTGATGTAAAACGGGACCTTTACCACCTCGGCCTATTTGAGCTTTTGTTTTACACTATCCAGTCCCTATCCATAGTCTATTCACATTACACCTCTGGTAAAGAGGTCAGGCCCGTCCCTGGGCCAGAAAAAGGAAAAGGGTATGCAGGCGCTGCAATCATTCTATATATACCAACCAAAGACTCGCTCCCCAAACAAGCCGATCACTTCTTCGTGGCTCTCTCGGCAAAATCCACTCATCTCGATCAACATGAATCGAGTCAAGATATACAAGGAAAGTAACTGAAGACGTATTATATCCTGCCGCCTTCGACGACCTGACGGCCCAAAATCTCAATCTCGCCAGATTCCGCGGTGCGCCGCCGTTCCATGACCCAGCGTGTCTCGCCACTGTCTTCTTCCTTGTGATAGGAGATGCTATCTGAGCTGCCTTTGTGACGATGCCCCATGCCGGGTCGGGATTGCGAGGGCTTGCCAACAGAAGGACTCATTGCCTCCATGGCGGAAGAAGGCTGCGAGTAAATCACCGGGCTTGGCGCGAGTTCAGATTCGGTCTCTTCATCTTCAATGACTGGCGGGAAACCAGTGTGACCTGCCGGTGGTAGCGGCGGAGGGCTATACAAAGGTGCAGGTAAGGGCGACGTCGTCGTGTTGAGGCCCATATTCGGCGGCACACTGGGCGGAGAAATTGGGTTGTTCGGTGCGCCCACCATTGCCATGGTCAGTGTTGGGCTGCCTTGACCACTGCCAGCGCCTGAATCCATGCTCCAGATGGAAAAGGCCGAGTTCTTGCGCGCATGACCTGAGCCAGGGCCATTATGGGGGCGGTCCCGTTCTTGACCAAACGGGCTGGTGGCGCCATTACGATCACTAGGGGAACCCTCGCGGGAGCTCGCTAGAGATGCCTGTGAGCCTCCCCATGCCTTTGTCCGCAAACGTAGCAAATTTGACAGAGTCATATTATCATCATCTGCCATCATTGCCAGTTGGGCCAAACCAGGACTTTGCAATGGCCCATCCCGACCGCCACTGCTGGGAATCGGCATGCTCATGATAGAATTCCGGTTCGAATACTCGGAGCGTTCAGTGATGGGAGTCAAGTTTGGTTCTCTCGACACCACACGGCCCGACTTTGAACGCATGACACCGCTAGGTCCAAAATAGCCACCATAGGACGTCTCAGCTTCGTTGAAAATATTACTTCCTCTCTGCGTCTGGGAAAGGGGCGTTGAATAGAAGCCGAATTCTTGGCCGTACCAACCATCGTCGTCATTTGCCAGTGCGCTCGCATTGGCCTCGGCAATGATGGCATCATCGTCAAGTTCGTAGTCGTCCAGGCCGTTGCCATAATCATCATCGTAATCATAATCTCCAAATGCGTCGTCGATATTCTGGTTGGACCCTGCCGAGCCACTAGTCGTAGGGGATGTAACAGTCAACTCGGCAGGCAGAGGTGGTGTTGTGGAAGCGCGTCGAAACTTTCCTGAGTCGGCAGCTTTTTGGACGGCCTCCGCCAGTGCGGCTTGGGTTGCCAGCATTGTATCCTGATTTAGTTCAGGTAAATCGGATATCGGCGGCAATGGTTCTTTCAGTATCTCCTCCGCCTTCTCTCCCTCGAGCTCGTTATTCTCTTGCTCAATCTTGTCGTCGCAGTCATGTTTTGTCTCCTTCTCTTCTTTCTCTTTTTCCTCTTCTTCGTCCTCTTCGTCCTCTTCATCCTCTTCTTCGTAGGTTTCCAATGCGCCCAGTTTCTCACGCAAAGCTGCACTTAGAGAATCCTGGCTCAGAGGCTCACCTACATCAGGCTGCGCTGATATTTTGGGAGTAATATCGTCAGACTCGGATTTGGCAGCTTCTTGGCGGTTCATCTTTTGGGCTAATGCGCTGGCAAACATGCCTGGGATTGGCCTACCCCATTGATCCGTGTCGTCAAGATCAAAGAGTGACTCATCAATCGCATTACCGTCGCCCTCGCCCTCAAAATCATGTCCTCCAAAGTAGAGCTCATCGTCTTTATCTAGATGTCTCGGTATCATCGGATCCTGAGATGACGGTTCTTGTTTGAGTGGTGCTTCCTCGGGCGTCTCAATCTTCGCATCGAGTCCTTGAATGCCTAGTCCAGTTGGGCTTTCGAGCATGGGTGATTCGGGAGATCTGAGGGTCTCTCCACCGATGGATGCTGTCGAGGAGAGTCCACTAATACCAGGTGATTCCTTGGTCATTGCATAGCCGATCACATTCCCGTCCATGTCTCTTGGTGTCGGCACCAGTCCAGTGGTTAGAGGACTGGCCAGAGATGACGCAGGGCCAGATCTTTGAAAAACAAAACCGGCAAAGTTCTCTTGGTCGTTGTCTGGATCAAGTCCCACCTCGGGCACTTCTTCCTCATAATAGTCGCAGTTCACACCGGGAATCGCTTCCTCGAGTCCATCATCGTAGTCCATGGCATCATAATCAAAGTTGTCTTCGTCGAAATCATCAAATCGCGAGTCCCGTTTCGATGTGGGCGACTCTGCTTGTTTCTCTTGTTGGCGTTGCCGGTGCTTCTCCTCGAGCAATTTCTCTGCACTTGCAGCTCCAATCATGTCAAAGCTGAACCTTGAGGATGTGCTCTTCATATGTTTAGGAATAGAGGACTTGATCCCCTTGCTGGACACTCCAGACGTGTTCCGTGAGAGAGTAGAGATGGAGGATGGGATCGAGCTTTGTCTCCTGGCGCTGTCCTTGCCCCGTCTCGAGCTTTGGCTCGAAAAGTCATTGGCGTCGACAGACATGGTTCTGGAATGAACAGAAGAAGACGTCCGATCCGAGGGCGCCTGATTGTCCTTGGGAGGAACCGGAGGCCCAGGTTGTGGAGGCGATTCGGTTTCCCGTATTGGAGGTGGACGGGCCTCTGCCACTGGCTTTTCCCCAACCAGAGAAGCAACATCGTTGCTCGAGACGATTCTCCGAGGACGTGGCGCACTGAAATCATGAACTCTGGTGCCCCTTATAGGCTGGTATGATGGTTCCTCTCGAGTTCGGCGTAGCGGTAGTGACAGCTCTGGGAGAACACTCTGACTCGTCTTCCTCCTTAAAAGTAGATTCGATATAGGATTCTTGAGAAAAGGTATGCTTCTGCGATCCCGTACTGGTTCTGGTACAGTATTTTGGGCAGGGGCCCCCATTGCGTCACTTTGTAACTTTGCAGCATGTTGTCGCTTTCCACTAGTACCACTGCTAGACTGTTCTGTTGGCGAGAGGAAAGATACTGAAGCATTCCTGTCCGTCGGGCTTGTCACGGCAGACGCATTTGATCTCCCATAGCTGACCGAATTCCGACCAGGGCCTGGCCTCGCGGCATCCTGTTGTTCTCGTTGGTAGTTCTGCAAAGCCAATCCACCTAGGAAGCCCGATTTCTCATTGTACGGTGGCCTTTGCGACGCCTTGCTATCCTCGCGCAGCTTGTGTTCCTGTTCTGGCGATAGCATCGGGGCATTTGGCTGTGGCGAAGCTATCCGCGCGATGGGCGGTAGAGTGGGAGGAACCTCTCGAGATGACGGTAGTGGTGGCGACACTACATTTGGCTGTGAGGGAAAGGTGGTCGCCCCATTGCCGTGGCTCGCATGTGATGTGCCTAGAGAATATCGCGATTCTTTACCAGACACCGGACCGGGGACCTCGTCGGGAGACGGCTGCTTTGGCTGCAGCGCAGCGCTGTCCCACGTTGGGCCATTCTCTGGCACAGGCGAGGTGGGATTGGAGGTGCCCCGGCGGTGGAAGCGGAGATGTGACAGCATTCCGGACTCTCACGGCTCTTTCGCCGGAGTGCGCGAAGAAGAGTCTCGACGAGGCGTCGCAGTGGACTGGAATGCGGCTTTTTTTTTTATCCTTCTCCCACTCAAATGTCGGTCGGTCAATCGTCCGGTCGGGAATGGCGTTCAAGGCACAATTGCGCGACGCCCGGCGTCTGGTGGAGTCGATCGCGTCGCCGTCATCCGAAGGCCAATATTTTGTCGTAATCGTCGGGGAGGAGGCAGATGAGGCGACAGCTCCGTAGCTAGCTAAGCTAAGCTAAAAGCTAATTTGCTTCTTGGGCGCAATGTGGCTGCTATTATAGAGATCTCGTTGTCCCCAAAGTCTCAATCATGACTTGGAAAGAGAATTCGCAAAGAGAGTGAAAAGCGTGATGTAACATGAAGAGGACCCTCCAAAAAAAAGACAGGCAAATGAATGGATTAGCAAGCTACCAACAGTTGACCGTCCAACTTCCCCCAGTCAGACAAGAAACTCCAATGCGTGAGATCTTCAACAGTGCCCACCAAATAGAGACTTAGGGTGCGCTAATCGTAAATCGAGAAACAAGAGCGATCCCTCGCGTGCAGCCAGTTTCTTTTTTTGGTGTTTACATGTCCAGCAACCCAACGGCCGTTAGCGACTAACAACCAAGTCACCAGCCTGTGCAAGCCTGTTTTTGGCTGGATCCCGCCTCGTGTTGGGCATTTAGTTCAGGGTTCAAAGCACTAATAAACAGTGAAGGGGGCAAGGTCATCATTGTGCATGCCCAAGAGGCGCTACAGGGCACCAAAACTTTACAAGCTTGACCATAAGTGGACCTAGATCTATGCACTGGGTAACTCCTCTGTGCCGGCATATAAAAGCACAGTACCTGAAACTGCAGCATTGCGGATCATCAAGGTCCCTAACCAGACAAGATCTGAGGCAACGGTGTATGTTAGCAAGTCTTGTTGGACGGACCAGATTCGATCTTTGTGATTGTTTGTTCTCACCTTATTCATGTATGAAGACTTCACAGTATTGCCACCAAAGATTCTTCTTCTGACTTCCGCTTTCAAGCAGTATACTTTGGCCCGTACGGGTAAAACAATAAAGCAACTGCACAGCTTCTTGTCTTGAATAACGGTATCGTCTTGTCTTTGGATGAATCAATAATGCCTTGTATTTGTGCAAATGCATTATGGCAGCCAAAAAGCTCAATCGATGTTCGAGTATAACTTTGTTGCTTTGCGTTCTTTTTGATGGAGCTTTGCATGCGCAGTATCAACTCCATTTACTCAAATGGATACAGGATACACACCAGCATTGTTCCATTCCAGCATCTCCTGTCTCGTACTTCAGATTCATTTGTATTCCAAAATGAATGGCAAAGACTCTTCGGACCTAATTGAGGTGCAATCCCTACGTAGAGTAACATCAGCTAATTTCCGAAGCAGAGAGCAGGAGGGGGTCCATCAGCACGGCCGCAACTTGAGAACCGACCGTATCGCTAAAAGCCGGGAGCTATCGACAGTACGAGCATGCCAAACCCTGAGGACCATGTTATAACGATTGCGCAGTCCTTGCATCAAATATTTCTCGAATTTGATAGCCCACGCTGTGGGCGATATAGACTCTCATTCTTCTTACTCAACACTCAAACGTCCCAATTGATCCTGTCATAACACAAAGCGACTCCAAATTCTGCTCTTGGTTGGTTGCTCTTGATCCTATCAATGATTAGGTAAATAGTTAACCTTGGCGGGTGCTAATAGTTAAATTGACAATCAAGCCAGAGCCTATCTAGGCAGGCTATAAGCAGTGGGTATACTATACCAACCTAGAGAAACATAAAAGAAACGAAGACAAACAAAACTGCGAGGCCATGAGCCTATAGTATTTGTCAGTAGTCACTGTCTCAGTGACAAGGCCCAGTATTTATGTGTCATTTGGCCAGTTCCCAAGCAAAGTCGGTGAAGATACCGTTTGCTGACTTTCGACTTGAACACCCATACGGATAGTGTTTCTTGCACTCGAAATCTTTACCTTGTCAACCAACTCGAGCTTCACCTATTAACCTTAAGCAAATGCTTCGTTGCTCGACCACGATACACATTTAGTTCTGTCAAACATCTGAGATTGGCTAATCGGGATACAATCGACTACGGGCAATCGAAAGGGCACTGTACTGTAGTTGTGAAAAGCTCAAGATAAAATCTTCAATTCTGAAGATCAGAGGTTCAAAATTTCCTCTCAACAAGAAAAAAAAAAGAAAACATAGATACCTTTTCACCGTTTTGTTGCCTATCATGGGGATCGAATGAGCGGATCCTTCCGTCTTATACAACGAAGATGTGGAGCTCCAGTCAGCTTCTCGGTATCGGTTTCGTTCGCGAATCATGACCAACCACAACTCTACAATGCATCTCATATAATCTCACAGACCCACTAGTCCGTTTACAGCAACTATCATCTAGAGGCGCAGACTTGCAAACAACAGTGCGACGATGATATTGCCAGTCTGTAGGATCAATAGTCGGCATGGTCGGTAATGATTCCTGTCTAGGTATTCATTGCACCCTGAACATACATGGAGTCCCGACAAGCTATAGGAGGCATTGCCAGCCAAATCCTGAGTGACCATTCTGCAAACGTCATCAAGCTGACAATTTTACGATACCGAGCCTGACGTTTTCATGAAGTATTGCAATATATAATGATGCAGTCATGTCTCGAGTGCATCAATATTGAACATTTTCTCAACCCGCCAGACTGACACCTCCGCAGTCGCTTAACTCGAATCTTGATCAAAATGTCTCGATCACTTCGTGCCCTCCTGGGCCTTAGTCTTGCTGGCCTATCGCTGGCTGCGCAACCCAATATTCTCGTCATCTTCACAGACGATCAAGATCTACATCTTGACTCGACTATGTATCAGCCCATCCTTCAGCGAGAATTCACCGAGAAGGGCACATCATTTACTGTGAGTCTATGGATCAAGATGAAGAAGAATTATATATAACTGATCTTTCATGCACATCACAGAATCATTTTTGCACGGTTGCTCAATGCTGCCCAAGTCGCGCCTCGCTGCTTCGCGGGCAAGCAGCACACAACACCAATATCACCTATGTCCTCTCGCCGGGCGGAAACTACGACAAGTGGCTCACTGCTGCTGAAGATGATGATTATCTGCCTCATTGGATGGTGGACGCTGGATACAACGCAGAGTACCTGGGCAAGTTCATGAATGGATACAACATTCACAACTACGCCACGGCGCCCAAAGGATGGACTCACATCGATGCTCTGGTCGACCCATATACGTATCAATACAACAATGTTGTCATGTCTTCCGACGGTGGAACGCCCGTCGCGTACCACGGATATCACCAGACAGACATCATTCGAACCAAGGCCCTCGATCGTCTCGATTACCTCACTTCACAAGAAAAGCCGTTCTATCTGACCATTGCCCCGACCTCTCCACACTTTTCAGGACATTTGGGTATCCCTATCCCACTGGCAAGGCACTTTGACGCTTATCCAGACGCAAAAGTTCCAAGGAATCCCAACTTCAACCCAGACGACGAGTACACGGTCCAGAAACCGTCGTATCTCAAGGACTTGGATCAGTTTGGTGCAATCAACATTACCGGCCTGGATACCTGGTACAAGGCCCGCATACAGGCTCTCCAGGGCATTGACGAGATCATCAATGATGTGGTGGCCAAGCTTGAAGACAAGGGCGTCCTGGATAACACCTACTTGATTTATACCTCGGACAATGGTTATCATCTTGGGCAACACCGCATGCCTGGCGGCAAAGCTCTGCCTTATCGCGAGGATACTAATCTGCCCTTCTTCGTCCGTGGCCCTGGTGTCCCCGCCAACGTTACCTCGTCCTCCCCCAGCGTACATCTGGATCTCGCGCCCACGTTCCTGGACTTGGCTGGCGTAGACACAAAGGAGTGGCCGGCCATCCTCGACGGACGCAGTCTGCTCTCAACCTGGCTCAACCCTCTGGTGGAGCGGGCCGCCTGCCGCGCCGCCGAGGACGACGACGTCCGGGAGATCATCAATGTCGAGTTCTGGGGTCCGCAGCAGCCCGAAAACTTTGCGAATAACTCTTACGCCAACAACAGCTACAAGACCTTGCGTATCGTAAACAGTGGCGGATCAGGTGGCAGCGCCGATCTCTCGTCATACCTGTACTCGCGCTGGTGCACCAACGAGACGGAGCTGTACGACACGGCCGCGGACCCGTGGGAGCTGACCAATCTGGCGCTGAGCCCAGACGCCGAGACGTCGCGGCTCATGGCCCGTCTCAATGCCCTCTTGCTCGCGACCAAGTCGTGCGCCGACGTGACTTGCCGGAATCCCTGGCGCCTGCTGCAGCCATCGTACAGGGCACAGGTAGCGCCTCTCCAAGACCTCGAGATCCGCTCCCTCGAAGAGGCCATGGACGTTCAGTATGACGATTTCTTTGCGGGCATTCCTCAAGTCGCTTTCCAGGAGTGCTTGGATATTCAGTTCCGCCCCAACGAGGGTCCCTACTGGCCTGAAAATGCTACACTTGGCGAGGACCACCGACTGCCTACGGACAACTTTGTCAGCTCGAGCAGTGAGGCCGTCGTCGAGGTCGAGGGCAATGCGGTGTTCCAGGGTACTTGGGCACAGAGAAACGTGACGCTCGCCGAGATCATGACAAGCGCAAGGAACTTGACTGCTGAAGAGCTGCAGTGAGAGATGGATAATGAAGCCAACAGGTCAAAGTCTCCCACAAGACTTCCTGTCCTTGGCCGCGTATACAAGTAAATATTAACCTTACAAATAGACATATTCACCACCCACGTACATTTTAGCCACTACTGTTGAGGATTTATGTATATCTTTCACTTTCTAGATTGAATCGCCAATTTTTTGCAATTTGTCCTAACAGATGTACATGTTTGACTCGATGCAAATCCACCAAGATGTATCGTTCCCAAGAGTCAATAGCATCAATAGAATTTTGCCAGTTAAACATAGTTCTATGGGTTCTGTTGAGCAACGACAATTAGAAAGATACTGAGTTCATACATAAAGTACGATAGTCTGAGGAGTTGAACATTAATATCAACTCGACCATGGCTCCTCAGACTACAATAAAGGCTGTAATTGGAATGAAAATGCCATTTACTTCTAGTACTGGATCTGATAGACCAATTGAGGACCCCAAGGACCGAATATTGTAGTATCTCACCTAGTACCATTGAAGTACAGCGGCTTATCATTCTGCATCTCGACATGGAACATTGGCTTTCGTTGTACCGATCTCTGCAATAATAGGTACAGGAGCCATCTACTTCAACAGTACCGCAAAGCTCAAACAACCAGCTTGATGACGGCGGAAACGTCTCAGATAATCAGCTCACTATCATTAACATCAACTCATGGTCCTCGGATCGAGCAACCCAAAATCCCACCAAATGCACCTCCCAGCCTCCCCGGGCTGAGAAGAGACACGGGATCAGAAAAAAGCATTTCCACATGTCGTTCAAAACTGCTCAGCCGTCTACAGTGATTGAAGCACGATTAAACCGAGATCCCAATTTCATAGAGTTTGCCAACAGTCACTCTTTGCCTGCATGTTTTAGTTCTGGCAGCCGCCACAGAAACTATCTGCCGAAAAAGGTGAGGCTCCTGCATCACGCGATAGGCGGACGAGCAAGCACATTTGTCCTACATGTTCCCACATCATCTAAAAAGAACGACAATCGAATCCATCACGCGAGTCATTTTGCACAGAAAATCAGACGATATCTCTCCTTTGTGGAAATCGGCACTTTCCTTGCAGGACTCGGGTCACATTCTATAGACACGCCTCTCTTTCTCCATCCCTTGGCTCAACCCCCCACTTTATACAGATACCTACTTGTTGATCAAGGTGGTGCTTTCCTATTGGAGTTTAAACTGGTCTGATATAGGTATTAATTATATAATATATTAATCTATATTCTACGCCTTTTAGTTTTAATAAGGTGTATGCTTATTTAGGTGGCCCCGGTTAATTCCCGGAAAGTCCCGTATATTTATTTAAATACTATAAGGTTAATCCGTATGCTTAAGCATACCCTAATATATAAGAACCATAATCCACTATTTAATACACCCCTTTAAATCCACGATTTATCGTAAATTTGGCTATACTTAAATTAAAATTGCTAATTAGCAAGATATGGCTTTTTTTAGGGTTATTCGTTTTAATTACGATAGGTAACGTTAAATCTTATTTATTATAAAAAGTTCTACTATTTACCTATTAGCAAGCTTTTTATTAATTTATTTGCTATTATTTTATTTAAAGGTTTATAAATAACTTTAATCCTTTTTTTTTAGGCTTTTTATCGTAATTAATAATTATAAATATTTATATAACGGAGCTTTATTTTTAATAACGCGATTTTAGCGTTAATTAAATTAATAATTTGCTTATTATTATATTTAATAATAATAATGCTATTATTTAGCTATATCGATAATTTTTTTAATAATCGGCTAACGAATAGTATTTTTTTAATAATTTACGCTAAAATAAATAATTTAGCTTTTATAATAAAAGTAGTAATTATATTTTATTTATTTAATCGCTAATTAATTAATTTTCCGAATAGCTTTATAGCGAATATTTAAATATTTTTGCGATTAATATTATTATTAGCAAATAATGCGTTATTAATAATTATTAAATTAAAGGATCCTCCGATTTTAAGCGAAAGTTTTTTAGTGTTAATTAGGTAAATTAAAGCTTGATTAGCAGCTTTTTAATATATTTAGCTTAAATTATTAAGGAATCGAGCCAATTTAATTATTACGAATATAATATTTAATTTCGTAAATATAGCCGCGAATAGCAATAATCCGATTTTTTTTTAATATTTCTATATTTTATAAGGAAACGCTATAATTAATCGAAATATAAATTTTTCGCAACCTATTAGCGTTATATAGATTTTTTTTTTATTTATAAGCTTAGCGATTTTTTTAAAATAAGCCTTTTAAAAAAGCCAGATTATTCTAAATGCACGATTTCTAATTATTTTTATCCTAAAAAACCATTATATTAGCTCGCTATTATTAATTTTATACTTTTTTATAAAATATTATATTAAATAATTAATAACTTTTTTATCCTTATTTTTATATGCGATAATTATATTATTAACGTAAAAAAAAACTAGCACTCTTTTTTTAATAAATGCATAAAGCTTATATAATATTTAAATATAACCGATTTCGGCTAAAATTTTTATAAATTTTCTTTGCTATAGCAATAATAATATCCGTAATTTATAAAGTGCTTTATTTAATAATAATATAACGTTTTTTTTTAATATTTATCCGGCATTTTTATAAATATATTTTAATTAATAAAAGCGTATATAAACGCGTTTATTACGTCGTATTATATTAATTTAAGGTCGAATTTTATTACGATTGCGATTAGGGTACGAAATAATTTTTTAGCTAATATAACCGCGTAAATTTCCTGGTTTTAGGATTTCGCTTATTAATTACCGCAAACGATAAATTTTGCTTTATATTTTTAGAATTTCCTATATTTATTAAATTTATATACGTATACCTATATATAATTAAAAATTTATTTGCCTTTTATTTATAAATCCTTTTTATTAATTTCGGTTTAAAATCGTATATTTTTATAATTTTGTAAATAATTAGTTTTTGCTTAAAGGAATAATTTGCTAAACGGATAATAATATAATTTATAATACTATTTAAAGGAAGCTAGGATTTCCGCTTTATAAATTTTTACCTTTTAATAAAAAAAGCGTTTTAGCTTTGCTTTATTGTTTTAATTATTGCTTTATCTTATTTTAAAAACGGCTTTATAACTAGCTAAAAAAACTATTTATTATAGGATTATTTTAGGTTTTTTTTTTAATAGCGCCGTATCTTTAATCGTAATCGCCTTTATATTATATATTAATAAAGCTAATAAAAATATTTATAATAAAATTTAAAAGGCAAATTTCGCTATAATAAAAGGGTATTATTTATCCTTTTTATTTAGCGTTATTTTTTTACTTTTTTAATTATTATTTTTTTTTTAATTATTTTAATTATTGCCTAATAGGATATTTTTTATAGCGGTATTTTTATTTTTTAGTTTTTATAAAATCTCGTTTTTAAATATTGCGTAATTAGTTATAAAATTAGCGATAAACTGGGTATTAGCATTTAGAAGCTCGTCCTTAAATATATCCCATTTTTTGTCGTATAATTCCTTTTTATTTATAATTATATTTTTTATATTAATTAATTTATTTTAATTAAGAATTTAAATTTTATAAATATTAAATAACCTATATCCGATTAAGTATTTTATTTATATTTTAGGTATTAATTGCTATAAACGGCCGAATTTTTGTTATACCGTTAGCGTTATTACGTATGCTTTATATCCGAATATTTTAAAATAGGTTTAATTAGGTTTATAGCTTGGATTTAGAATTTTTTTTGCTTTCGCAATTGTTTTATAGAATTTTGTATATAATATACGCTATCGGGAATTATAATTCGGCGTGTGATTATATAAATATACCGCGGTTTTGCCGATTTTGGGCTAAAATTAATAAAGGAGTTTTGCGCTAATACGTATTACCCGTTCCTTTTTTTTAATTATACCTTTTAAGCGTTTAGCAGCTTTATTTTAGGCTTATATATATAATGCTAAAAGCTCGAATTTAATATATTTATTTTCGAGGTATTTTTTTATTACTTATTTAATTTTTATAATTTCGTTATCGTATTTAATAACTTTAACTTTAATATTATATTAGGTTTTTATTATATTTAAAAACGATCGGAAAGCGTTAATTAATATAATTGCAGTCTTTTTTATAAAATAATAATTTTATATATATCCCGTTTACCGATAAGTAATTAGCATTTAAAATATATAATTTTCGATCTTTTTAGTATAATTATAAAAATTTATAGCTAATTATTCGCTATAATTTTCGTTAATTAGCCGTGGCGCTTGCCGTAATTAACGCGTAATTTTTGCAAATACGCAGGCTTTATATTTTATTATAGTTAGTCTTTTAATTTTTACCTTTTAAAATAAATAAATAAAGTATTCGAAAGCTGCCGGGCCTAAATATCTTATTTTATAATATTATCGTATAATTTCCTTAATTAATAATAGCTTTTTTATTTATATTATATATTTTTTCCGGTAAGTAGTAAATAACGCTAAAAGTAATTTATAAAATTTATATTCAAGAACGTATTATTTATATCGGTTTTAAAGTATACTAATTAAAAATCTATTTTTTTTGCGTAATATTATAGGGTCGTTTTTATTATCTTAATAATATTTTCGTTTTCGTAATTAATAAAATAATATTAATATAATTAATAACCTAAAATAATAAATTATATTATTTAATAATAATATTTTAAATCCGAGCTATATAATTATTATATCGTACCTATAAATAAATAATTTCCGGTCGCCTAATTAAATAAAATTATAATTAAAAGCTTATTTATAATTAATAAGCCTTATTTTTATATTTATAATTAAAATCGTTATTACTAGATTTAAAATAACTAAATGGCGTAAAAGGTAATTTTTTATAAATGCTGCAAAATTGCTTTATATATTTGCTATTAATTATCCGTTTTATTAATTTATATTAATCAGAAGCGATTTTTTTTTTAGTTATTCGTAATAT